TTTATTTTTTAAAATAATGTCTCAAGCAAAATGACACTCCCTGCTGCTAGGCAATTGAATTCAATACTGTACATTTATAGTAACCATTGGTATGGCTTTAGTACAGATGAATTCAATACTGTACAATTATAGTAACCATTGGTATCCCATGAAGGCAGTTGAATTCAATACTGTATACATCTGTAGTAACCACTGGTATACCATTAAGGCAGTTGAATTCAATACAGTGTACATCTATAGTAAACACTAGGTATGCCATGAATACAGTTGAATTCAGTAAGGTGTACTTTTATAGTAACCACTGGTATGCCATGTGGACATCTGAATTCAAAACTGTACATTTGTAGTAACCACTGTTATGACATGAATACAGTTGAAATCAATCATGTTTACTTTTATAGTATGCCATGTGGTTAGCTGAATTCAATACTATGTATTTTTATAGTAACAATTAGTATGCCAAGAGGACAACTTGAATTCAGTACTGTGCACTGAGTTAAATAAGCTAGTTGGATTATGTATACAATATATAATGACAATGTATACAAGTTAGTTAGAAGGAATGGGATTAAATATTTCCAAACTGAGAAGGAAAAAAAGTAAAGTCAGAAATTATCAAAACATAATAATCCATTTGCTAAGACACACACACACACACACACACACACACACACACACACACACACACACACACACATGCATGCAGGCATATGTTGGGTCCAGATATAAAAAACAGATCCAGCTGTGCTATCACATCATGTGTTAGCAGAAAATGGTCTAACTCCAGGATCATCTGTGGTTATTTTCCCAGGTTTCCTTTATCTATCTGCCTGGATTAGACCTGGATTATGGTAGCTCCAGGAGATACCCCTTTAGGCCAAGGGATGAATGTGTTTACAAAGTGTAGATAATACAAATCAGGCTAAATGATTCTCAACATTGATACAGACACCGCAAAAGTCACAGTAGAAAGGAACTTCACAATTCTGGGGTTGCCTGGTAGCAGCATAGATACATGATATTACGTGTTTCCAAAACTCGATTAATTGTTTATTATCAGAATTATTTTGTTGCTACAGAGTAGGAGAGATATCAGATTGTGATCTATAGGTTTGCCTCATGCTCCAGGCAGTATGTCTGTTTAACAACAAATGTTATTTGACATTGGGTATCTGTTGTTCTTTTATTGGTTGTCATCCCCCCAAACTATGGAGTTCAGGACAGGATTACCCATTAGGCACATAAGCACATACGTATGGCATCAGCCCAGCATGGGCACCTATAAAAATTCAAATTAATTGATGATAAAATTAAATTAATTATAAATGATCATTTCGATCTCCATGTTTGAGTATTTTGAATTAGGATGATGGCAACAATATTATTTTCCCACCTTTTTAGCTTAAATTAACATTGTTTTTTTGAGTTTCACATTGGGTGGCTGGGAACACTATAATATTTTCAGTGCTCAGGGCCAACTGGAAGATTTTAATCCCATCCTGATGGAGTACCATATATACTCACCTATAAAACAAGAGTACAAACTGCACAGACCCATATCTGCCATCACAAAATGTGCTTTAGGTCTAGGTCTATGCAATTTGTAAGGAGTAATCAGTAGAACAAACAACACAGATCTGATCTGTCGAAAGATTATGCTATGGCAGATCTGGATCTTTGTTGCTTTTATTTGATATAACTTATAAGCAAGTATACACAGTAACTGTGTACAAATGGGGAAACAGATTTACCATATCATCATGTTGCAATAATTGAAACACATCACAATAATATTGCTTATGTTGGACAAATCAAGTAAGTTGTATGTCTTATGTCAGCATTAAGAGATTAATGTTATCCTAATGTCAGGATAATGTGACTGGGTGGGACATGCAAGATGATGCCTCAGTGCTATATATCACTATAAACTGCCACACTGAAAACATCTAGTGATATAACTGAACAATTGTTAAAAGCTACATTAAAAATCCAAATCACACAGACTCACACACAGACAGACAGACAGACACATGCTTACCAAGATGATTTAAGATTTATTTGACAAACTACTGCCTAATAGATGAATAACATCATGGGCAAAAATATTTTAGCATATATAAGTTTCCTTGTCTAATTTGCTAAAGATTTTGCTTCCTAAAATTATGTGATCTGAAGCAAACTTTAGGAAATATGCTGAGTTTTCAGATTGATAATTAAGTTTAAACTAAAATAATTCATAATTTCTTTAGCATTTTAAAATGGTAGACAAATCTCTGATTTCACTTTTTTTGGTGGTAAACAAATCATGTAGATTTCAGGGTTGCCAAATACAATCACTTTAAAGACCCAATGAAATATCAGTCTGTAAAGACTAAGGCTGCAGTGTTTACACATTTAAATGGCATATGTTTAATTATTGCCTTTAAATCCTTACACATGTAAATGGCATATATCTGATTATTGCCTTTAAATCTCTGCACATGTAAATGGCATAGTTTTGATTATTGTCAGTAAATGTTTACAAAATTGGTAAATATGTGAATGAAAACATGTTTGACTATATTTGACACAGGAACTCCATATTCTAATGAAATTGTATATTTCCACATCTCTGTTTTTTTTTCTATTAAAGCCACTCAAAACTTAGAGATAGATTCTAAGGAAAGACAAAGCTTTGAAAAGGAAGCTTTTTAGTGACACACAACTTTGGTTCCATTGAATTTGAGATAGAATTGATACTATAGTTGAGACAATCAAAGTTGAGAGAAGGGTAGTATAGAGAAAGTCAAGGAGTCTAGAGAAAGTCAAGGAGGAGAAGAAGAAGAAGGAATTTGGAGAAAAGTTGAGGTGGAAGAGAGAAAGAATTGGGAGCAATAAGAGAGAGAAAGTATAAAACAGATGAATAGAAATACAAAGACAGGTGGAAATCAATCTCATACTGCTAATCAAGTGATGCAATAGACTTATTAATGGATAAAGCATGAGTGTAATTGGAAATATGAGTCATTTGATTATTGAATTATTATTAAATTGTTGTTCATTGAATTTCAACCTTTTTTGTATATTTAACCATCTAACCATTGACATTGATGACTGGGGTCTTGGAGCTTTTCATCTGTCTTTCACTAAATTAAATTCCAACAACATTTCAACTGGGTGGAACTTCTATAATAGTTTAAATAAAAATATTGGATGCAGCCCACCCCAACCATACATTCATCACATAATGTAACCTGTAATCAGTACCATTTTATTTTCAAGAAACACCATTTTAAGTTTGTAAACCACTGCAGAATTATTTAGTCACTGTAGATTTAACAAATGCATCCCATGTCCAGGCAGTGAGTACAGTATCATTATTGTAGGTAATTGTAGGAAATACTACCACCATAATCCTAGGGATGTGTTCCTAAGATGGCCTGGCATATTTAACAAAAATATGTCTTACAAACTGAGACCTGTCATAATCATAAAAAGAGGTAAAAGATTTACAACAAAGATAATACAATCTGTAACCATGGCATCCATATTATAATAGCCATTGGCTGTGCAGTAAGCCTAATGGGTAGTTACCTTACTTACAAGACCAAGCAAACTACAACAACAATGATCCTGATCTGCCCTAGCATAATGCACCTGTCAATCAGGATCTATGTTGTTAGTTCTACTGACTACTCCTAACAAACTTCACAGATCCAGATCTGCTAATGCATTATTTTCAGTGCATCTGGTTCTTTGTAGTTTGTAGTTGGATTCATCTTATAAGCAAATAAATACAGCATGTGGAATGCTTCAATTTGTTTTGAGAAAACAACTTCCTTTCATTTATTGTAAACCATGTAGATGTTAGTGAAGACCATAAGACCCTTTTCCAAATCCCCAACCATAATTGGCAACAAAAATGTCATATTTTGCAGAACTATTAAAAGGAAACCCAACACAATACATGTAATGAAAAGAACATGTTGAGGTTGTTGTTGATGTTTAGAACTACATGTAGTGCATGTGGGGTAAGAATGGAGCCTTTCAATATTTCAGTAAAAGAAAATGCACTAAAATCTGATAAAAGCCTCAAATTTGACTTGTCAGCAGGACTGCTCCCAATTATTCCAAAATGTTCTGAGCAAGAGAGTCCATTTAATTCAAGCTTAAAACATCAAAATCAGATATGGTACCATATATATTTACTTATAAGTTGGGTCAATTAATGCAAACTCAAAAGATTCTGATCTGCCTTAGTATAATGCAAAATGTTCGTCTGATTGCTCCTAACAACTGCACAGACCCAGATCTGCCAGATTGAGTGCATTATGTACTCCAAGCAGATCTTGGTCTGTTCAGTTGGACTTGCCTTAAAAGCAAGCAAAAATAGTACCTAGAATTCACCTATAGCATGAAAATCTAGCCAGGTTATAGAGGGTCCCAAATGAAGAAAATTCTGAAAACTCCAATTTTGATTATTGACATTATGGCCTATGCAGGATTTGAGACTTTGAGGTTAAACTTATGTTGCTTGCTAAGAGAGATTTAAGGATACAAGGTCAGGTTATATACAAGGTTCCATTTAATCACACAATTCAAGAGACAAGGTCAGGGCATACACTGTTCCATTTAATCATTAGGTTCAAGAACATGGTGTGAGAATGTCCATAGTTCCATTTAATTATATGATTCAAGAATACTTGGTCAGGGTGTATACTGTTCTATTTAATTATAAGATTCCAAAATTGTGTGTGTGTGTGTGTATGTGTGTGTGTGTGTTTGTGTATGTGATTTGGAGTTTTAACATACCTTTAACATTATTTCTGCCAAATCATTATGATGATAACATTGTGGCAGTTTAGTGATGCCTCGCACTGGGGCATCATGCCAGACATGTAGCATAATGTCCCATCCAGTCACATTATCCTGACACCAGATGGACTAGTCCTAACACTAACCTCTTAATGCTGAGCACCAAGCGAGGCAGTTCTTAGTACCATTTTTATAAGTTTTTGGTATGACTCAGCCGGGGATCAAACCCACAGCCTCCTGCATCTGAGACAGATGCCCTAACCACAAGGCTACTGGAGCAGTTTCCAAAATATGAGGCTAAGGTCTACACTATTCATTTTATGATAAGGTCAGGATGTACACTGTGCTTTTTAATCTAAAGCAAATGGATTAACATATGAATCCAAATTTACTGAAGAGTTTTTAAGTCCAATATAGATCCTTTATTATGTATATTTAATTTAATTGATTGTTTATTAATTTTAATTCTTTTAATTCCATTACATGCTAATGTACCTTTGTTTACTGGATTTGATATTGTCCAGAATTGAGTTTAGTTCTGTATGACCTTACTGAATTTTATTTAATTGATAAACACCTAATAATAGGAACACTGTATCTAGCTATTGATCTTGATTCAGAACCAGTGACAGTTTAGTCATGGCACCTGGAGTACATGATATGAAACATGTTTATTGTTACAAACTTCTAGAAAACTGACCCTCATCTGGGAATCTGTTTTGCACCTTAGTGTATAACTGTTGTTTTTGATAAAGGTTTTTAGCTGGTTTCCCAACAATTGACACAATAGGGTAGATTGTGACCAGTTTGAATTGAATTTTTATATTATGGAATTCAATTCTTTTTCCTGGAAATATGTACAAGCTTCTACAAACTTTTTGGACAAAACCATTCACCTTAAGTTATATAGAATTAAAAACTGGAATAATATTTTCTATGATTCAACCAGCAACTTTTGACATATTTACACTTTGAAGATTACAGCAGACGTTACCACCTTTCATTTTGGATTTCATCAGGATTCAAACTATTTCATTCAGGACTTTTTATTACTATGACTTCTATTTTTAATCCTTGGATTAATTTTGGATTTGATTTATAAAACCGTAGTTCTTTTGTCTTTTTTCTAAATTTTTCACATTGTATTTAGGAGAAATAAATTATTTGTTAAATTTTACAAAGCTTGTTGTCTTCACTCTTTTCTGTTACTTATTTAAGAGATTAGACTTGTAACACCTTGCTCTTCAGTTTTTTTTTTGTTGCATTTACCATACATGTGCAAATATGGTATCAAGAACATCAGAAGCATTGGAAACAGTGTGATCAAGCCCTGCCATAATCAAACTTGATTTTAATCCTTACTTCAAAATATTGATACCAGTCAAAATACTGTGTACAACTGTGGCCTGGCCTCTTTGCAATAAATACTGTGTACAACTGTAGCCTGGTCCCTTTGTATCAAAACTTCAATTGACTATTATACTTGAAATATTCTCAAGAATCAAAATATTTTATTCCTTGAATTTGAGTTATATTTAAAAATTTTGTTTTATTATTTATTACACAGAATATTGAATAAAGCTATTTGAGAGAGGAAACAGGTTTGTAAATTTTAAATATGAGTTTAAAATTTGGATTGACATGCCTTTCTAAGTTTTTCCTCTGCTAATTTTACCATGGTTTATGAGAATACCATATATACTCGCTTAGAAGACAAGATTGACTGTACACTGCACTGTACACTGCACAGATCAAGATCTGCCATTGCAGATATGGGTATGTACATTTTGTTGGGAGTAATCAGTGGAACAAACACCATGGACCATGATCTGTGGGCGCATTATGCCATGGCAGATTAGGATCTTTGTTGCTTGCTACTTGACTTGACTTATAAGTGAGCATATATGGTAAGTTTCAGTTCTTTGCAAACATTTAATGGAACTAAGTTAAAAATTGTGAAGTTAAGACAGTTTCCACATGCTGTATAGTTTAGAGGTTCCAAAGAATATGATGTTGTGCCTTTCTAGTCTCATTATAGGACCCATTCTTATATCCTCATCTTTTTTCAATGCGAGTCAAATAACTTAAATGATCAGAAAGAGAATAGGAAATAATGATACTATAAATTGCTAAATTTTTGGGCTGCATATGAAGAATAGATCATCAAGATAAATAATAGAAAATGAAAATAACATCCAAAGTGTTTCTTCTGGCATGCAGTGAAAAAGCTAAGGACATTCGGACTGGCTACCATAATGTCTCTAATGTCACTCTACTGATAAGTGACATCATACAGTGTGTGTGTGTGTGTGTGTGTGTGTGTGTGTGTGTGTGTGTGTGTGTGTGTGTGTGTGTGTGTGATAATTAGCACTGGGGCAACATGCCACAGACATGCAGCATTGTGTCCAACCCAGTCACATTATTTTGAACTAGGCTGACCAGTCCTAACACTAAACTCTTAATGCTTAGTGCCAAATGATGCAGCTACTAGTACCATTTTATGTCTTTGGTATGACTCAGCTGGGGTTTGGATCTGTGGTCTCCCACATCAGAGGTAAATGCTCTAACCACTTAGGCCATCAAAGCAGTGACATCAAACAAAAGGCACATGTCAATTGAATAGAAGAGACTTTAATGTTCAAAAACTACAGGAGCATTTGTCAACTTAAATTTAATAAGCAAAAGAGCATGAAAACAATGAACCTGCAAAAGTCATTAGATTAATTATCTTTATCTCAAGTAGTTATTACACACTATGTTACTTATATGATCTCTGTTGGTAAATAGTTGCTCATACCAATCTTGTCTCCATTGTCAATGTAGTACTGTTATTAAATGTGAGATATCAGTGGTATGGGAAAATATTGCTGAACAGAGACTAAATGTATAAAGTAACATTTTGAAATAAGTCAATGTAATAAAAAATAATCAAACAGTTGACTTCTGGAAGTAAATATTTGTAAGGATCATTACTTGCAAAAGATAATAGAGGGTGATAAATGTCACACTGCACTGCACTGGGTTTAAAAATGATACAACATTTGAATAGACAAATGGCTCTGACATGACAAGTTGGTCGAATGACATCAGAGATTCTCACTACTTAATGTCATTTAGTTTTTTTGCTAAAATTGAATTCCTTTTCATCCTCCATGTCAAGTGAGAAACAATGCTAACTGCATGAATTATTTCTTCTTGTGATGCCAGGTAAGTGTATGCATACTGTTACAGTGGAGCTATGAACAGTTTTTGAGTTATAGCCAATGGCCAAATCTCCAGAATAAAGGGAGAGCATTAATTATCTGCACAACTGTTGTGGCCCTCTCTGTCTAGAAAGTGTATACAAGGTATGTCAAAGAATTTTGATGACCAGTTTGAACCCCATTATAAGGTAGCAGGAAATATACATAAAAAAGATAAAAATGGTAAGATGCAAGGAATCCAGTACAGTTCCTGAAAATAATTATCTTTAACTATATATATGCTCCAAAAAGTATTCCCATATAGGTGGTATCCAATTGTAAAATGCATGGACCTGTTTCAATGTTGTTTGCTGTTGCAAATAACTTGTATACAGGTTAATAGAGACATTGCTACATACAACCAGAAAATGTAATTATCACTGAATTTGTAACTGTATTGCTTACAAAGTCTGTCTTCTCATGGCATATGATAATAGTAATGTTTATACTTGCTTATAAGACAAGACCAACTGCAAACTGAACAGACCCAAATTTGAGATTGCATAATGCACCAGCATATCTGTGCAATTTGTTAGGAGTGATCTGTACAACAAACAACATAGACCCTGATCTACAGGTGCATTATGCTACAGCAGACTTGGATCTGCTGGCACATTATTGGACTTTTTTGTATATATGATAGACAAATACCTCTCAATGATTTCTTTAATTTTTTTGATATTAGACTAGCCTACCATTTTCATGATTATATTTTAGGCGATATCATTTATTACTCTTACAATTTTTGCACAATATATTTTTACATCTAAATGCTGTTAAATTTAAAGTTTGTAAATAAGAATGTCTCTGGATTATCATATTGTTTAAACAGAAGAGTACAAAGATGTATTGCTCAGATGTATTGTCTTCAAATGTGAATGTGTATTTTAAAGAAGTGGGGAATTATCAGCTAAAGTTTTCACTTTATATCAATAAATTAAACATAGATTTTACAATGCCAAAGTGCAGGTAAAAGAATATATCTATCTCTACCACAACAGCAAGTTAATAGTGTTGAGGAACTCTTTGTAAAGACCATCAATATCATTGATATATAATGTTAATTGGGATAAACAGTGCCTTTCTTGTAAAAATCATTAAATAATTTGCTTTTTCCTTTGTTTTTAAGTAACAAGTCAAGATCTTTAACCCTTTCTTCAAAGTGATTAGACAAGCAAAGTGATTAACCCATGTGGCAACATCAATAGCCAGGAACAAAACTCTTTTTTCTTTCACCACATATATCATATATCAGATTCAAAAACAGGTTTGGATTTTCATTATGGTGTTGCTCGAAAATTAACTTCATGAAATACCTGTTATAAATCTGAGCTTTGTTATATTCTAAATTCAGTTTGTAATATGATCTTTGACAATTTAGAATCCAGATTACCAATATATAGTAGATTCAGGTCTCTTTTTCATGAGACTTTATTTCATGGTGATTATTCAGAACAGTCCTAGTGGCAGAAATAATTTAATTTTGAACTCCCAAGTTGCATCATTATTGCTGCTTTCATATTGAAGATCAGATTTATTAATAAATTATTCATTCTTTGCTGTACGGCTAGTGCCAAAAGTGCATTTCAAAAACCCAGTTCAGTGATAAGACCATTTAACATCAACTGAATTGGAAAGAGGCATACTTTTAAAATTACTTTTGATTTTTCACTGTAGCCACAGTACTACAAAATATTTTTAATGACAGCTTGATCAGTCACTATAAACTCAATCACCTTGAAGAAAGGTTGTGGTATTATAAAACTTTCATACAGTGACAAATAATTAACAATACTTTGATCACACACACTGCAACAAGTAAAATCTATATGACACACACAAAAACTCATTTGTGATTAACAACAACCCACCCACCCCACTGCCATGATCATGTTTATAAAAACATAAAAACATTATTTCCAGCCAATCTTATGTCTAAAGAAACAGAAGTGGGTTTCTTGACACACACACAGACACACACAGACACACACACACACACACACACACACAAGAGTAGCTAAAATGATTCAATGTTTG